ACACCCGGTTTCATTTTGGCAGCGGAGGCATCGTGGGGGGCAGGCCCCGGCGCCAGGGGGCGTCCCTCAGGCACATGTGTTCTCTGCAAACAGCCCAGGCTCCCCAGCGCTTGTTTATTTAGCTGAGTCAGGTCCTCAGCTCGCCCCAAACGTTCCCTTTGGGGGACCCCAAGGCTGGCCACCCCCGACCCATCCTGTCCCCATTCGGTGCCCTTCACCTGGGACGGACATCACCTCCCTGAGTTAACACGCAGATGGAACTTCCCGTTGCTGCAGCCCAGATCGCATTTCTTTCTGAGAGGGTATCACGCTGCCTTCTAGTCCTTTGGTAATGAAACCTTTGGTAAAACCCTAAATGCTGGGTTTGCATCCAGGCCTATTTTCCTCTGCTTTGACCCACACGCGATTCCACTCGATTTCCTTCAATACAGCGTAGCCGTCTTGGTTCCGTGAGCCCAGTGCTGGTCCTGGGCTCTCCCAGCCACTTGTTTATAGGCTCCATGTGATTCCAGGCTGACGCGGAACATCTGTGCCTGTGGCTGCTTGTTATTTCTGTCATTGTGAAGGCTGATCCAGACGCAGAGGAACAAAGACCCAGTGTGGATACTTTCCAGATTATGTCGTTCTAACTACTGTGTGTTCTGTAGGCCGCTTCCCTCAGCTGGTCTCTGCTCCCACATGTCCGCGAACGTCAGTCACGGTCAAGCAGGGCTGTGGTGTGGCCTCAGCCACAGCTGAGGAAAGCCACAGTGATTTTTTTCTTGTGTGTGTGTGTGTGTGTGTGTGTGTGTGTGTGTGTGTTTTAATCAGTATTTTTAAACTTTGCATTCCTAGGCTGCCCGCCTCACTGGAAGAACTTCACGGACAAATGCTACTATTTTTCGGTTGAGAAAGAAATTTTTGAGGATGCAAAACTTTTCTGTGAAGAGAGGTCCTCACACCTTGTTTTCATAAACTCGAGAGAAGAACAGGTATGTTGGCAGCGCACTTATCGTTGGGGAAAACTGTCATTTAAAAATTGTTTCCGTCTGGGCAGTGCATGCTTCTGGGGGAGTCAAGGACATCGAGCATCATTGTCACATCAACACAGACGGCCACGTTACAGGATGTGGGCTTCCTCCAGTGACAAGAAATGTTCTTGCTGTGGGAATTAGGTCCTTTTGCTTCCACCTGGAAGATCTTGCTTTATTAAGCCTGGAGGTGTGTGGCTCTTCCCAGTGGCTTTCAAAAGAGCCGTAACTCTAAGGAGAAGCCTGCGGGCGGCACCAGGCCCCTGTGGAGAGAGGCAAAGAGCCATGACTCCTGTAGGGGTGGTGTGGGGTGCAGGGAGCCAGACATATGGCCTCAGCAGGGTTAGGAAAGGCAGTGCCGAGCCTGCACGTGATAATGACGGTGACCCCCACCAGGGCCCTACTGTGTGCCTGGCCCCATTCGGGGCATTTTTTCCTGTAAACCTCACAACAACCCTGGAGCCTATGGGTAATTTATCTCCATCTTACAGATAAGAAAACTGAGGCTCTGCCAAGTTCGAATGATTAATTTGTGAGACAAGTAAATGCAGAGCTGAGACCGAAACTGAGGCTCATCTCGCAGCAATACCAGTGCTTTCTTTCCTGCCACACTGCTCAGTGGCCTCCTCCCTTTTCCTGAAGCATCTCTGGCAGACATACCCTGAAAACAGATGCTTCCACAGTAACTGATGGGGAATGAGCATCCAGAGGATGGTGGTCAGGCACCTGGGCTTCAGGACCTAGAGACCTGGGCCTGATCCCAGCTCAGCTTCTCACCATCTTTCTTAGCTTGGTGGCTGTAACAGCTCAAAAACACATTACATGGGACACGCTGGCTGTGGGACCCAGCCCAGAAGAAGAGCTCATTAGTGCCATGGCTGTTACTGTTACTGGGACACGGGAGGGCCAGTGGTGGATGGGGGTGGAGCCTGGCAGGGTTCACTGAGTGGTCTGGATAGTCTAGTGGAGAAAGAACATCACTTAATATCACTTACAAACTCAAAAGAGGGGGAAAAAGGTTTTCAAAACAGTGCAGAACAAGTGCAATAAAAAGAGGTCAGCAAAGGCAGTGCACACGTCCTGACAAACATCCTCCTGTAAACTGTCCTTCTTTTCTAAATGTTGAAGGAAATTCCCCCAGACACCCATTCAAGAAATAGTAATGCACTGTCTCTGGGTTTTTTTTTCAGCAATGGATAAAAAAGCAGATGGTAGGGAGAGACAGCCACTGGATTGGCCTCACTGACTCGGAGCAGGAAAACGAATGGAAGTGGCTGGACGGGATGTCTCCAGAGTACAAGTGAGTCTCAGAAACTTCAAGACTGGTGTCAGGCTCTCACGGGTCTGTGTTTTCACCTCTTGCCAGACTGACTCCCTCTGGTTTCTTCCTTAACAACCTCATGTTCTGCGTGTCCCTGAAACTGAGGCTCCTGGTACCAGTCGCATCTTTATTTCCAACCAGGGAAATTATGGTTGAGAATCAATATGCTGTAAAGTAGGGTTTTTCTTTTTCTTTTTATGAAGTGATGTTTTTTCATTTATGTGCTAAAAAAAACCCACCAGAGACTCATCAAACCACACAGGGTGGTCCTCGTGGCCCAGCGTACTCTTTAAACGCCGCTCTGAAGGCCAAAGATGGTCCAAGCTCACCTAGCCGTGTTTCGGACTAGGGCCAGGCCCTCCCTTCACGATGACACTGTCGGTGCCCTGATGCTGGTTGTGCTCCTGACCAGAGTGTGGGGGTGAACTACAAGTGTATGACTCTCCTACACATGGGAAATTCAAGTGCACCACACGAGCAAAGGCATTTCTGAGACAACCATCTCCTACAGGTTTGAAGAGTCCCTGTAAGTCCAATGTGATCTGAGTCCTATAAAGGCAGCAACAAAGAACAGAAGCACTTTCTAGAACCTCCTTGGAGCTCTCAGGGGCAAAGACAGATGTCACCACGAGCCTCCTCCGACCCTGGTATCCACTCCGCCCTGATCCTCCCCTGGGGTCGGAAGTTGACTAAATTGTGACCGTTTAAATTTCAATCCTTCATCCTACTCCTGCTTTGCCTCTAATGGATGTGAAAGTATGCAACTCACTCTACCCGATGGTGCAGAATTTATAAAAAACCCACCTGTGAACACCTTTCCTTTGCTGGGGGCAGAGAAGTCAGGTCCTGCAGAGGCCCGGGCAGGCGCGAGGATATCTCAGCTTCGGGCGTCCCGAGCACAGAGGCAGCGCAGCCTCGACGGCACCGGGAGAGGAGAAAGCCAGGGCGTTTCAGGTCTAAGGCAGCGCCTCAGGCGTTGAGGCTGGATCTGCAGCGGTCAAGGGCGGGGAGCAGGGGGTGGAGGGGCCGGGTTGGTTCTGTGTGCCTGTGCCTGTGGGTAGACACACAGGCTTCTTTATACTTTTGAACCATCCGCGTGAAAAGCATTAGAGGATATAGGTGGAAACCAGAATAAAGCCGTTTCTTTAAAAAAAAGAGGGACCAAGGGGGAACATTTGAAGATTTTAGGTCTGCTCCAGAGGTGAGCCTCAGCCTGCCCCCAGGGCAAACGGAGACCTGCCCACGGGCCCAGCAGCATCCTGTCTGCTCCCTGTGCACCTGCCGGGGGAGAGGAAGCCACAGCACACCCTGGGCTCGGGAGTCTGGCCGACAGCCCAGGGAGGGCGCCCAGCCCAGCAGACCTGGGAGCACTCAAAACCGTTGTGAGAGTTGTCTCTAAAACTGGAGCACTGGAGGGTTGGAGGTGGAGGCAGGAGACGGAGACTACTTAGGGAAGGATAAATCTGTGACTCTGACACTCAAGAGTTCCAGGATCTCTTTCTTTTTAAGGGAGTCAGCGGGGAGCTTAAAAAAAAATTCTATCTCTTCCATTTTTCTCATGGCCATAAATGCACAAAAGGTCTGGGTTAGACTCACTCAGAAACTCAATCTTAAGCCCTCCTCCAAGAAAAAGCTGGATTGGCCCACATGCAATGGACTGAGCAGGAACATTACTGTCTTGCCAGCTCTCCCAAGGTGGAACTTTCTCTTCTTTCCTGGGCTCCAGCAAGAATGATGTGATTTGGGAGGAGAGCCCCAGCACTGGTACCTGGGACCCGAGAAGGATTACATCACCAGACATCTTCCCGGGAGCTCTGTCCGCAGCCCCAGCCACCCGGGGGCCCCTGCGCCCCAGCCACAGCCCAGACTGCACTTCTCGCCTTCCACCCAAAGGAATACACAGACGTGTAAAAATCCCTGGGATCAAATTTTAAAAGCAAGAATAAATTAGGCAGACATATTATGAGGCCTCAATAGCCGAAGGCTAATTGAACTTGACATGTAATAATAAACACTGCACAGACTAGAAAAAGAGCCAACGAGGGGAGAGCGAGGGGAGAGAGTGCGTGCCCTGAAGCCGATGAGGTCTGGGTTCCAGGCCTTGACCCGGCACTCAACAGCTGCTGACCTCGTGCGAGTTACTCAGCTGTGTGGAGTCTCCCTGCCTTCATCTAGAAATGAAGACACCCTACGTCGGTATTGCGAAAATTAAATGAGATTTTATATATACATCTCTCTCAAGCCTGGAGCACGGTGAGCCCATGGGAGGGGCTCAGGGAAAATGCCCTCTGCTGGTGTTGGTCTTGTTGCTCATATTGTCCTTCTCATCATTTTCATACTAGTCAGTAACTGCAGAACAGCACCGCCTAGCAGTTCTGTGTCATCCCATGTCCCGACTGAGATGCCACTCACAGTATCGCACTCACATCTCACGACAGCATCACGAAGAAGACACGACGAACGTTGCTCCGTGTGTCTGACAGAGTGGCACCGGCTGTGGTCACTAGAGAGAACTCTTCCACTGTTCAGACCCTGTAATGGGAGAAAATTCTACAGCAAACAAGCACTTCTCACGGCTAAGATTTTCCTGTTTTGAGGCCAGGCTCTTACCACCAGAAGTTTCTTGGCTATGAAGCCTCAGTCAATCTTGTGGTGGATGAGAAAGTACTAAGTTGTGAGGTTGGAAGGCGCTAGTCCCAAGATGCAAGTCTGTGCTCTGCCTCCGTTAGGATAAACCCAGGCACTGAAATTCTTCTCCAAAATATGTTCATGCTGTTTATCTGAGATGTTCTGTTCTATTACAAGCATGCAGACTGGGGGGAGTTGCCACAAATCACTCCATGTGATTTTAGCTTTTCCAAAGAGGTGCTTTGAGATTCAGTCTATGGGACAAATTGCCCCTGCAGCCTGGCTTCAGGCTACCCCATCACCCGTCCACGCTGGACCTACCTGAGTCACTCCACTCACAGCCACAGAACCACCTTCTACCTTTAGTTCTGAAGGAACACTGTGCACCATATATGAATTCCAATGACCTGGAAAAAACAAATGGAGAATGGTGATAATGATGATCTCCTTTCTTATCAATCAGTTATCTTTCTGTCTCGTCTGTAAACCCCTTTTATCTACTTAAAATGACAAGGAAATGCAAGGGGGAAATATCAGACAGGTCTTCTATGAGAATGCCTATTTAGGCAATTTCCCAATTAGCTGGAAGATAAAGAATATCAAATGTCCCATCACAATGCATCCAAGGATCACCATCTCAAATTCAGTAAATAAATCAGAGTAGAACCCCCTCATGTTACTGCAGAAATGAAAGAAATGTCTGTCGACATCAGACTGCTATGATTCACTGACACTTCCAGAAGGATCCTGCAAGGCAGAGAGAAATATGTGAAAAAGCCTACATGAAAGTAAACTATTTTTCCTCCCAACTTCATCTCTCTCTGGCATCACTGTGGCATCTGAGAGTTTTCATTCATTTGTTTCTGGCCTGTTCTGTAAGTTCTGTGAGGGCTGGGACTCTGTCTACTCTTCACATTGCTGTGGTGCTGACAGCTACCATTGTCCCTGGCACATAGCAGGTACTCTGTGGGTATTTATTGAATGAATGAGTGAATGACTGACTATTTCTGACACTTCCACCTAAGTGGCATCCCATTTTTACTCTCATCAGTTGATGGTTCCATCCAGATTATCCCTTCATCACTAGATTTATTTAAGTGAGGTTTTCATTTTGTAAAAATCCCAAAATATGGATTTGATGTGGGGGAGCCAATTCTACCTTGCTTCTCTACCCTCTAACTGTAAATTTCAACTCTCCTTTCCCACCACCTTGATTTTTGCTGGTCTAATTGCCAGAAGATTGAGGGCAACATGGGTTCTATCCCCAGTGACCCTGTAAGAGCCTGGCCTCAAAACAGGAAAATCTTCATAGTGAGAAGTGTTTCTTTGCTGTAGAACTTTCTCCCACCATAGGGGTCTGTACAGTGGAAGATTTCTCTCTAGTGGCCACAGCCAGTTTCTGATAAAAGCATGGGCCAGAGTGGGTTATTATTGAATTAGATGATGCTGGGGGTATAATGAGTCATCATTTATGGGAAGTGCCGCTGCCTCAGATGTTTTTTCGGACCATCCACACGAGGCAAGCTTGGTAACCACGACCTTCTGTGCAAGAACCTGCTTCTTAGAGAAAATGTAGCTTTCAAGTTCTCAATCTTGTGAGCACATCTGATTTATTGCATGGAAACAGAGTCAAGAACAGCGAAGCTCAGCAAGGGGATGTTTTGAGCAGCAACATGCAAGTTAACAAGCCTAAAGAAAACTTGTTTTTAAGGATCTCTCTCCCAAAAAAGGCAGTAAACTCTATGAGTCATTTTCAGTGAGATTAAATGACGATTTCTTTCTAAAGCAATTAACTGTCTACAACTTAGCCAGAAATCCATAACCACGTGTTTGGAATTGTAGATTCTTGTAAATGGATATCAAGGGTCTGTCACTTTCTCTGTCTGACTCTGACTTGTTAGAGACAAGCTAGCAGAATGCACAAGGTTCTCTGGGTTCTCACGAGAGTGTGTGTGTATGTGTGTGTGTGTATCATGTGCTCAGAATGCATATATATTCACGCACAGAAATATACACACATGCCCAGATGTCAGCATCCCAGCACACATTAGAAAGTTATTCATCTAACCGTGCGGAAGAAAGGTTTACTCCCTCAGCAGTGAGTTGATTTCTTTGTGGCAAAGATACCAAGCCTGCAGGGAGATGCCGCGTCACACACTTCCCTGCAAAACAGCTGCTTCTTATTTCACATAAGAGTGTGCAGGCTGTTTAAACAGTGCGTTTTCATTCCAGGACAAATGACATGCCTTGGTTTTGTTTTTGACATTTCTCTGCTGCTCTTGGGTAAAGAAAACTTCTGTGT